TGTGCGACGTTGCCAATAAAATTTCCTTAAATCTAGGGAAAAATCGGAAAGGGGCCACTTGTCTCAGCTAGACCCGCGGCCCCATTATCCATTATCGTATATGGAACCAATACAGGCCCCCAAATTTTGAGGCGCACGTAGCCTAGAACTCATAACCTGAAATTTGATGTCCCATATCTCGCGCTGGTAGCCTGAAATTTGTACAACGTATCTAGAACTCATAACCTGAAATTTGATACCGCGTATCTCGTACCTGGTACCTCGTACCTGGTACCTCGTACCTGGTACCCCGTTACTTGTAACAAGATACACCGTACTGGGCCCCCTTTTTTCGTCGTCGTCGTCGGCCCCATTTTTCTAAACTAAAATATGGTCACATAAAAGACAACATCATCATCATCATTGAAAAAATAGTGCTCCAATTTGGGCCCCATTTTTCACGGACTTGTAACGATTTAATTGGGGGGCCCCAAATATTATTTTTAAAATAATTATAATTTCTACCGTTCTCATAAACAGCAACAAGAAGAGCAAGTTGTGTGTGAACTTGCTTAATCCTGCTTATCACACGGAAGCCGCATTTCCTGCGACGATAACGAAACGCAGCTGGCTGGCCTGGTAGTTGTTATTCATTTTCAAATTTTAGTTAGATTTTAACGTCCCTAGGTGACACAAAGTTTTTCTTCAGTGCTCATCCAGATTGAATTTTTCAACGAAAACTTAATTCAAAATTGGGCGTTACCTCAATTATAATTGATTGTGTGTATTTAGTGCTAAAAACTATGTAAGTAATTTTTTTCATTATTCTTAAAGACCCTGATAATAATACGTTGTTCTATTTTTAGTTTAATAATAGAATCATGGATTTACCCCAAATTAACCAAGCAGCCTGTCTTGAGGAAAAGTACTACTTAAAGCTACAAGATTTGACTCCAGAGCATCCCTATCCAATTCGGGGTGTGACTATAGTGAATTCAAAATTTGGAGAAGTAGCCCGAGTAGAAATGGATAAAAACATTACCTTTCTTCCTCAACGTGCAACCGATTCAATTAAACAAAACATTCAGCACTTCGAGGCTGGGAAATTTGGATTGAAATTTAAAGGCATGCGAGATATTAAAGGCCTGAATCCAACACCAATTTTCAAAATTGTTGAATTGTAAGTATACCATATAAATTATTAAATTAATACTAAAAACATTTTCAATTTTTAGAGTTAACGGCATCGAGAAAACGTCAAAACGCATCAACAAGATCAAGACATAATGATTCAGGAGGAATTTATTATTTTTTTTGTTGTAGAAATATTGATAATAAAAAACACTTTATATTTCTACATAGGTAGTTGTTTTATTTATGGAATATTTATTGTGGATTTGGTATAGGAGAAAAAGAAATAGGCCAGAATAATTTTTTTATTTCAATTTTTTATTTAAGAAAAATATCATACAGGTTATATTTATGTTCTAGAATTAAATCAAGATGATTTTCATTCCAATAAATTTTTCCCATTGTTCGCATATCCACCATAGTCAGACCTTTACTTTCTTCCTCATTCCAATAGCTAACATAAATGAATTCTCCAATGTAGAAATTTACATCATACCAACCATCATTTACATTATCGAGAAACTGTAAAAATTCCTCAAATTCATTGAAGGTGAATGGTATAGAAGTTTCGTTCTTGTGGTGTAAGACAATGTCCGTTTTCTCAGGATTATAAATAATTTGCACAATGTCTCCAATATTATATTCTTGATACACTGGTTTTGGAAAAAATTTCCAATTTGCATGTTGCTGGTCCATTTGCAAATCTGGAAGTTGATGAAAACACTCCATCCCATTTCGGATCCATTTTTAAATTCTCAAAATTGGGGTTCGCCTAGGTCAAACCTTCGAAACTTCAAATTAAAGGCGCCGCCGATCTAGAGATTTTCCCACAGTATCAAAAAAGTTCCCAGGCTTCCCGTAAAATTAATTTATTGAACCATCAAGAACATTGACTTTTTCCTATGAGCATAAACTAAATAAATACAAGTAGTGTGATTCCAGTTGATTCCCGTTCTAGTCTTCATCTTTAGTTTCCCTTTCCTTTTCCCTTTTTATTCGCCACTGCTGCTAGTAAAACAGGATGCTTCTTGTTAATCATTTTGATCACCTGACCTTTCGTGATTAAATCGTTATCGTTTATAGCTTTGGAAGCTCTGACTATTCTCTTGTCACCAATACTTATATATGAAGGTGTTATATTAAATAACTTATGTTGTTCTTCCAAGGCAGCTATTCTTGGAGCCAATTTGTTTTTGATATCAGTGCTAATCGATTGGTTCATAGTGGCTAAACTTTTAATTTTCTTTTGACTTTCTTTCATTGAAGAATTCACTGTTTTAAAATCATTTTCAAACGAGTGGCTCTTATTTGTCAAAGTTTCAATTTTCTTTTGATTAAAGATTCTATCTGCTTATACTTTCCAGATAATTCTTGTGAGGGTGAATCAGTGACTTTTTTCTGGTTTTCAGAATCTGTTTTAAAATTTTCCAAAAATTCTCTCAATGATTTATCCATATAGGATTTCGTTGCATAATCTTGTGATTGGTTTTCCAAACGTCGTTTCAACACCAAATTTTTATACTCGTTAACAGTTTTTAAGCGCTGTGAACGACCAAACTTATCGACAGACATGATGATACTAAATTGAATGTCTACTGCTACAAACTCTTATTCTCTCTATCTCTGTCTCTCTCTTTCTCTCTCTCTCTTGTAGTTTATCCTGAAAACTAAAATGGAAATAAAATAACGAATGTTTTTAAAGAATTTATTGCATAAAAATTATTTTTCACAAGTTCACATTCTTATTATTACATCACTAGATATCTAAAACACATAATTTCTTGAAATCCATAACTATTTTTTTCGGGTTGAGGTATACGAATTCTAACATAAAATAGGATAATTCACATAATAAATTACAATATTCTTTTATGACACTTAAAAAATTATTTTCGTTAACAGTGGTTACATTATAATATTTTAAACTATTATCATAAAAAGTTCTAAAATCTAGTTCTATAAGTAAACTTAACCTATAATCTATTATTTCTCGGATATATGAAATGGATTCTATATCGTCTATACAAAAACATAAATCAACTTCTCCGCTTGTTAACTTGATAATTCTCTCTCCAAAACACATAACTGTAGAAACAATGATGGTATCCGATAATGAAACAGTTGTTATGACATCACTACCATCTCCAGAAAGTTCCATAAAGGATGTAACAATATCCAGAAATTTGGACCATTCTATATAGCTAAACGAAACAGACACTTGTTCTTCAGGTAGATTTAGAATTGTACTTGTGACTTTTAGGCTAGGAATTAGTCCTCGAGCAATACTTATTCCAGAAATTATTTTGAAATTCTTGGTTGAATAACAAGTCTCCCCCAAAAATGTTGATTTTTTCATGATTTCTTGTTTACTCATCAAAAACATACTATTGACATACTTCCAATTAGGTGAGGAACAGGTTGAGCAGCTCTCATCTTCACTATCCGTACAATCAATATCTGCTGGTGTTGTCATGTTAAATTACCATACAATACTTATTTTTATGATTATGACTTAAGTTATGTGAATGAGAAGGACTACTTTCTTTGCAAACTTGATACTTCACACTCAGTATTACAAATGAGTTGCAAATCGTTTAAATCCGCTTTTAAACTAGATCTTTATCCCTGTCAACCCAGCTATTATGAGATTTTTCAAAGCCCAACCATTTTACATACATTTTATGTCCTTTCTTTCGTAATACTTGTTCTATAAGAAACACATCAGGTTGTTTTGTTTTCTGTAGTTCTTCTTCATAAAAACCACCACTTATAGGCCGACCTTGCAAGTCCTCTAACAAATATGTTGTTGGATTTGTAATTCTCACTTTAGCTATGTGGAACAATTCCGTAGTCCAGTTTGGGGTATATCCTTTCTGAAAAACATGCTTGAACTTGCTTATGCGAACTACGTCACCGACCTTGAATTTCTGTTTTCCAGCTACCTTAATATGACTATAAACAGTATTAAGTAGTGTTTTTTCATTATTTTTAGTAACTTTGCTTGGTTTCATTTTAATCGTGCTATGTTTGCGGTCATTATATGCATCGGTAACAGGCTTCAATAAATCGATCCATTTATGGTTTCCGTTTAATGTAAATTGCTTAAACAACTTTTCTTTAATGGTTCGAATTACTCGCTCTGCAATAGATGCTTTTAGAGGACTAAACGAACTATAATGATGTATTCCATGTTTCTTCATTAGACTCGAAAATTGAATATTATAGTATTCCTTTCCATTATCCGAAATACGTTTCTTGGGTATTCTTCTGGCAATTTTCAAAATGCTCTCCATAGCTTTAGCGACATCTTGCGCTGATTTCGATTTTACAGCTCTAGTCCACAGAAATTTAGAAAAACAATCGATAACAACCAATATGTACTTGAATCCCTTGTTTTCTCGAGCATACTGATCAAGCTGAGCCAAGTCGGTGGCAAAAGTATCATCCAGACCATACTGTATAAATCTTCTACGAATAAACTTTTTACGTGCTGGCTTATGTAGTTCTTCAACCACCCGTTCCCTAGCCTTTGTAATAGTTTTCATTTTTTTTTTTTCGTTGTGACTCACAGTACATAAATGTTAAGAGATCTAAACTTGAAAGTGGCTAACCCTATAATGATTCAAGATAACACATGTAGAACTATTTATTAAACTCAATCACACCCAATTCAGCCAGTTCCTCTAAAATACTCATAATCTCATTGATATTATTGGTATTTCCAGCTTTTTGTGATGCATCCAATTTAACAAGTCTATCAATTAATTCGTTGACGTCATCGTAATAAACATATTGTTTTCGTTTCTCATTATATTCTAATAATAAAGCCCTTCCGGATTTATTTTGAGATCTTGTAGATGGATTTCGGCCAGATGGCGAGGCACTGTTACTTGATTTAAGCCTTTTTGCTTCAGATGATGATGAGACCAAAGGTTTAACAAACTGTCTATATTTTGAAGATGTGGACCCTTTAACTTGTTTGGATGGATCAAAATCTCTTCGATGAACATTGGTCCTGTTTAGAATATCCGTAAACTGCAACTTATCATCCTCTGTCTGATAGATCGGCTTTTTCAGAAATAAAAGATCATATAAGCCCTGCGTTCCTTTATAAGATACAGCCCCGACTTTAATATCTCCATTCGGGAGAAAGTTGACTTTTTGTGATCCCATAGACCAATCATCGGTTTTCATATCATGTTTCAAGCCATAAGAATGGTCTATTTCATCTGATTGTTTATAGTATCTATCTACATACTCTTGTGCTACTTTGGGATACTGATCTAAAAATTCTTCATACGCTCCTGATCTATCGTGAATTGATTTCTGCAGATCTTCTTTCAAATGTTGTAAGGGTTCATAAAAGACATTCTCAGCGCCATCATCATCATCATCATCATCATCATCACTTATTAAATTCTCACTCTTTTCTGCCAACCGTTTTCTCAACAAACTCTCTTAGAGTTCAGTTATAGGGTTTATTATCCTATCAAGTGCCTCATCTTCCTCTTTTCTCTCCAGCTTTAAAGCCAAATACTTTTTTCTTATAGATCTAGCAGCGTTCAGTATTTTCTTCTTGATATTCCTATCATTTTCGCTTGGAACCGAAGCGTTGATTTCCAACCAGCTTTAGACTGTCTTTTATACTGCTACACAGATCAGGAGACAGGTCTGTATACAGCTATATACAGGTCCGTATACCGCTATACAGGTATATAGACAGCTTTACAGGTCAGCAGACAGCTTTTTAGACAGCTATACAGGTCTAGAGACAGCTTTACAGGTCAGCAGACAGCTTTTTAGACAGCTATACAGGTCCGGAGATAGGTCTGTATACAGCTATATACAGGTCCGTATACCGCTATACAGGTCTAGAGACAGCTTTACAGGTCAGCAGACAGCTTTTTAGATAGCTATACAGGTCCGGAGACAGGTCTGTATACAGCTATATACAGGTCCGTATACCGCTATACAGGTCTAGAGACAGCTTTACAGGTCAACAGACAGCTTTTTAGACAGCTATACAGGTCCGGAGACAGCTTTTTAGACAGCTATACAGGTCAGAAGACAGCTTTTTCAGGCAGCTATACAGGTCTAGAGACAGCTTTTAGACAGCTATGCAGGGTAGGAGACAGCTTTTAGACAGCTACACTAGTTCAGAGACAGCTATGGTACAGCTATTGCAGGGGTCTGTACACAGCGACGTCTTAAGGGATACTGAGGAGAATTTGTCTTCTATGGAGATATATAGGTGTTGAACTGACTTCGATATCTACCGCTCGTGATATCATCATCTTTAACAATGACTAAGAAACCATATTTATCTTTCCAACATTCAGAACAAATAGTTTTAAACGTATTTAAAGACATATCTGTGTTAACGTGATCGTCGTACACATGTTTCAGGTTCGTGTCATCCTGCTTAAATACTATAATCATATTTGCATTATCACGAATCAATTGCTTAGGTATTTTTGAATACGTCTGACAAAGATAAAAACAGTCAATAGCATTATGGCGGCCCATACAAAAATAGTTTCTTATCTTGTCTTGCTTCTCACAAGCCACATCATCGAATATAAACACCGAATCTGACTTAGCTGTTTGCGGATCTAAAACGGTTTCATTATCACTGTATCCATAAAAGTTTATACCAGCAACACGGTTGAGCACCTCTTTCAGAAACTTATACTTCTCTTGGTCCAATGACTTGGAATAAACAATATACATATACATTTCGGAATCTAAGTCCATTCTCATCGGTTAACATACTAAGCATAACATTTGTTTTCCCTGAATTACTTGGCCCGCATATTATTGCTCTAATTGTGTTTGGTAAAAGTTCTCCATGTCTCTTTCTAACACTAGTGGACTTATTAATGTCAAAGTTATCGATCTTTATGTTGATTTTCTGCTTCATCTTCCGCATCGTATATAAACAATGTTCACTTTACCTCTGTTTCATTCTTAATGAATACACCATCGAGTGTAGGTCCTTTAAATAGCTACATCAACAAGCTTTCTTTTGAAATTCACGGATCTACAACACAGACATCGGCCAGATAAAGTGCTAAAAAATATATCGTGGGAACGGGTGAAAGGATAGGATTTCGCAATTTCGGTTAGAAGAAAACTAAACGTAAACTCAGCATGGCTCGATCGAAAAGTTTGAAACCATTCAAATCCTATGTTGTGGCTAATATTAGAAAGCAAGTAAAGCATCGTGGTAGAGGAATAAAAGACTTTATTAAATCGGCGCTTCAAGCAGCTCGTAAGACAATCAAAGAAGCTGGTGGACCCAAAAAGATTCGAGTTCCACGAGTTATCCCAGTACCAAAAGTAGGTGGAATTATTCCTCTTATACCTCTGTTTGCCGGACTTAGCGCGCTGGGCGCTTTAAGTGGGGGCGCGGCAGGGGTGGCAAAAGCAGTGAATTACGCTCGTTCTGCGAAAGATAAACTTGTCGAGTCCAAACGACACAACGAAATGATGGAAGCTATTGCGTTAGGAAAAAAAGGGAGTGGATTATATCTTAGTAAACACAAGACCGGATATGGACTTTACCTGAAAAAGATGTCAAAAAACTTCCAATAAAGCTACCCGATCGTCCACTAAGTGATCAAGATATCAAGCGATACGTTAAAAAACTTAAAATTTTCAATTTTAGAGGCGTGTTTATGCGAGATACCTTACCATCGTCTTCAAAGAAAACCGAATGCGGGGTTCCTAATTTGGATACGAATATGGGATCGGGATCACATTGGGTAGCTTATAAGAAAAAGGAAAACACTGTTGTTTACTTTGATAGTTTTGGGAACCTAAATCCACCAAAAGAACTCGTTCGTTATTTTAAAAATTGTAAGATACTTTTCAACTATGATCAGTATCAGTCATATAACTCCTACAATTGTGGACATCTTGTACTTGGTTTTTTGTTTAATAAATCTATATAAAGTAATTGTGTTTTGATTTTATTTCAGTCATGTCTCAGACATTCACGTTGAAAGGTCGAAAAAGTCGCTTGAGTGTTGATATTACACCACCCATCAAGCTTGATTCTAGTTATAACTATTCATTAGCTCTCATCTCACTCAGTACGTGGAATTCCATTCCCAACATTGAACCAGGTCGAAACAAGTTCTACTATAGCGTTACAGGAAAACAACAAATAATAGAAATCCCAACCGGGTCGTACGAGGTTACCGATATTGAAGCCTATCTACAAAAACAATTAAGTACGACTACAACAGAAAATATTTCTCTTAAACCAAACAAGAATACATTGAAGTGTGAACTAAAGGCTATATATGATATTAATTTCAAGCCTGAGGATAGTATAGGAAAACTTTTGGGATTTTCAGAAAAATCTCTGGAAAAGAATTATCTACACGAATCCGATCTGCCAGTTGAGATAATATCGGTGGCTAGTATACGGATAGAGTGCAACATCATCTCTGGTTCCTACTTCAATAGTAATCCTTCACATACGTTATACGAATTTACTCCAGCTGTGGATCCTGGATGCCGAATTATAATAGATCCTCGAAACTTGATATATCTACCTATCAATAGGGACAGTATAGATAATATAACAATTAATATACTTGATCAAGAAGGACGGCCAGTTAATTTCCGAGGAGAGGAGATCATAGTGAGATTAGAGCTTAAGAAATATGGTCCTGGTTTTTAATAAAACTGGTGACTATTTAAACAGTGGTGTTAATAACTCGAGCTCAGTCTGCAGTCAACCGTCAAAGCAAACGCTCACACATAAAAGTTTGATTGGGTTGAGATCTCTGGCTTCCCAATATGGATATCGTATCAGGAAAACTGCAAATATTTCAGTCGGTCAACACCGATGAGTCCGTAGCGAGAGAGGAATGGCATACTTACCATCCTTTCACCAATTCTTTCAACTATAGTGATGAAATAGAAATTGTTATCAATCAACAAGATGCATTTATAGATATTTGGATTTGCGGAAGGCGTTTGATACTGTGGCGCATCAAATTTTACTTGAAAGGCTGGAAAAAATGGGGGTAAGAGGGATCCCTAATGATCTAATTAGATCATATCTACAAAGGCATCAAAGTACGCAAGTTCTAGGAGAGGAAAGCGGGAAGCTGAAGGTGGAATTTGGTGTGCCACAGGGAACAGTGCTCTCTACACTGCTGTTTAATGTTTATATAAATGGGATATTATCTATTGCCAGTGAAAGTGGGGAAGTTTTTTGCTTTGCTGACGATGCAGGGGTAGTTGTCAGTGGAGATGGTTGGGATAGAGTTAGAGAGAAAGCTGAACTTGTGCTGTCAAAAATAAAAGAATGGTTGGACTATGGCTTGCTATCGTTGAATGTGGAGAAAACTAAATTTGTGACTTTCTCTCTTTCCGTGCGTTCATTGCCGGATATCCAAAGTATCAAACTTCATGATACTGGATGTGATTTAACTGGCCAATGTAATTGTAATATGTTTATTGAAAGGAAGAGAAGTATTAAATATCTAGGAATATACATTGATGAAAATTTTAATTGGAAAGATCACATCAACTATGTAACAGGCAAAATCAGAAAAATAATTTATAAATTTTATGAATTGAGAAATATTTTAAATTTGAAAACACTTAAGTCAGTTTATTTTGCATTGGTGGAGTCAATAATTACCTATGGACTGGTGGTCTGGGGTGGCGCAGGATCAACAATTATGAAAAAACTTGAAATTGCACAAAAATGGATAATTAAGATCATGTTGTTTAAAAAGAAAAGGTATTCAACAGAATTAACTTATAGGGAAAGTGGAATCTTAAGCCCAAATCAACTTCACATAAAATCCTTAGTCAGATTTATGATAAAAATGCCAAACTATAGAGAAGAAATATCTCATAATTTGGGAACTAGAAGTGCAGCTAAGAATAATTTGGTGCTGCAAAACCCCAGGCATAATGTATGTCAGAATCATATCTATTATGTGGGTCCAAAGATATATAATAGTCTACCAATGCGGCTGAGAGCAAGACCATATAATAGGATTAAAAAGGAAATTAGGGACTGGATTCTGGAGAGTAATATTAGTATTAATTTTGTTGTTTGAAAAAGGGATAGATCAAAAATGATAGGATTTATTCTTTTGTTTTGAATGGTATATGAGTATATATATATATTTTTTTTTTGTGGATTGTAGAGTATAGACTTTTGAAATCGATTTTGCATGATTATTTGATATACAATTGAATATGTACATATACCTTGAATATATTGTAGTATTAATGTAAGGGGTGCACACACAGTATTTTGAATACCATTGTGCACCTGAGACATTGGCAATTAGTATTAGTATTGAATTATTGATTAGTATGTATGTAGTGATAAAAAAGAAAGGAAAGAATATAAATGTATTTTTTTTTTTTGCTAATGAATAAATAATATATATGAAATAATAATATATATATCAGCCAAGCC